GGAGACAGTCGGCCTCCCCCTCCAGCAGCGGAGCTGTGTAACCAAAGGGGAGACAGTCGGTCTCCCCTCCAACAACCAGGCTCCAACCAGGCTACTCCCGTGGTAGCGCTGGCACCAGGGCAGAGTATGGCTGGTTTCTGCCCACTCAGCAACCCACCAAGGCAGCTTACCAGTCACCCACACAGCCATGGTGAGGCACCTGGACATGGACAAAGTTCTCCTCTACCCAGGTGTAGTAACCAGTTATTGTGGGTGGGATGTATTACTGATTGTGTTTTGTGGGTGGGCTGCTGGACTAACAAGGGCACTGACCGGCAGGAGGCCAGATACCCTGTTAGTCTGTTTGGAAAAGGGGAGAGATGTGACAAGACCAATCTACCGAACTAACGCACGAATGACTGGACCACCTGGGAGCTGGAGTGTGTCGGCAATTTACCTCCCAGAAGCTGCAGTTAACCGCAGCTTAATTGACGAATGCTGGATGGCCTTTGTTTGGTTGCCGAACACGTGGCGGCGGCCATTTTAAAGTCCCGAACGGCCAGCGGTGTTCAGCGCCCAAACTATGGAACTGTAAACGGACACTTATTTGTGCGAACACCGCTGAGCCGTCAGCCTCCTTGCTTCTGCATTTGGTCATTTAACCGAATGCCTGTTCATTCGGTAGTTTAAACCGTATGAACAGCATTACCTCAGATAGCCATCCCATGGAGTCTATTCGTATGGAGAACAGACTTTGTGAACACTCTAACTCCACGGCGATTGGACTGTGTGCATAGGATCTGAATGCTATTCTGTACTTTTGTGCGCTCAAATCCCAGCTATCTGGGGATGGGTTACATGTATATATTTTGTGTGACAAATGTAATATTGTGTATTTTGTTGTATTTTAGTGTTTTGTTGTAGCCATGTGGGTAATGGAATTTTGCCTCTGTCCTGGAAGATAATTGGATTACTTCCCAATTATCTCCAGGACAGAGGGAGGGAAGTTAGGATGCATTGTGGGGATGTTTTACCTCTGTGTGTCTGTCATTGGTTCATGTCTGTCCTGTGTCACAGTCTCCCATTTGGTCCCCTAGGGGAGTGTCCACCAGGTGGGAGACCTGCATAAATACTGGGCAGGTAGCCCTCATTAAAACAAACCACTGCTTGACCCTCAACACGGAGCTCTGTCTCGTCTTTGGGGGCATTTACTGTATGCTGATAGAGACTGATTGCTAGGAGTGTAAGCCGCTTGGGTGCTTTTCCTATTCGTCTGCTAGCAGCTATTCGTGAGGTTCCAGTTCGGGAGTTTGGAGTGCTATTTTGTATGCAGTTCGGGAGTTTAGAGCATTCCCTTATATGCAGTTCAGGAGTTTGGTGTTCTGCAGTAGCTGTGCCTGTATCTCTGGAAGGGGAAGATCTTCTAAACGGCGGTTTAACCCTTTTATGCTGTGGGTGCCGTTACAATCCCCTTCCACATTTCCTTAAATTTTTGCATGTTTATCTCTCTAAATCAGGGGTGCCCAAAAAGTAAATCCCTAGATGTTTTAAAACTATAGCTTCCATGATGCTGTGTAATTCTAAAGGCATGCAAAGTATCACGGGAGTTGTCATTCTACAACATCTGGGGGGCTACCTTTTGGGTACGCCTGCTTTAAATGGTATTCATACAAAATTTAATATAAGAAAAGATCTGAATAAACACAAAATCCAGTTTTCAATGATAATTGTATTAATTTAATGACACATGCTAGTTGAACCCAATGGACATTTGTGAAATATTGCCACCCACACACATTTAATAACTGTTTGTATCTCCTTTAACTGCAACAACTGCAACTAAGCGTTTCCTGTAATTGGAGCTCAGTCTTTCATATCACCCACACTTATTTGCGGAATTGCTCTAATTCAGCTTCAATGGGCAATTTTCAAGCATGAACTGCTTGTTTGAGGTCCTGTCACAGCATCTCAGGAGGGTTCAAGGTAGAATTTTGTTTAGTTAATTCCAAAGCATTCATTTTGATCTTCTGAGTCATCCCAAGGTGGATCATTGTCCTTATACATAATCCAGTTAGACTTTAGCTTCAGATCACTGACAAATAATTGGACTATCTCCTGCAGAGATCAGAATTCAAGGTTCTTTCAGTGACGTTGAATTTCCAAGGTCTCGTGGCAACGAAGCCTCCATATACCATCACACTACCTCCATCTTGTTGTAATGCTGATATAATGGTGTAATGTACTTATGTTGTCCTGAGTGCTTTTACAACTTCCTGGATGACTCACTGCTGTGCCTTTGGATGAATTTTGGTAGATTAGCCACTCATGGGAAGATTTGCCACGACTTCTTTATTTCTCTGATTGGATATTATGCATCTCACTGTAGATTGCAAGAGTCCTATTGTTTCAAGATTGACTAAGTCTCTTGCATAATTTATTTTCATTGCAGCATGATGTGCTGTGTGATAGACATGTGCATTTGTTTTCATCTGAATACAATTTACGCTACCAGTTCCCTCCTTGTAATAAATATTAATGCCAACACCCCCTCCCCCCCACCCCTGCAATGAAACTTCTGGGGGTCACTATAACCCCCATATTAATAAAAGGGAGGTTAAATACAACCGCATTCCCCTACTCACAGTATGCCGCGAGTAGGGGCATGTCGCCTAAACAGCGAGCAGCCAGTGGCTACTTGCTCTCATTTAACACTAAATATATATCAGTATGGGGGTCACTATGCGCAGTGCTGTTTTCATCCTAATGGACGAAAAAACATTTTTTTAACGAATTCTGTACGAAAACACATTTTTTATTTAGTATAAAATCATTCATGCAAAACGAAAATTTCACTGGTGCACATGTCTGCTGTGTGCTGAGACCATGATGCTGACACTGATGGCAAAGTTCTATATAAGTAGTTTTTTAGATTCACAGTGGGTGTATCTATAATCATCATTTACATTTGGTTAATGGGTTAATTGAGTAGCTGAGGGGCCAATTATTTACACTACAGTGTGACAAATGTGCAAAAATAGAAAATAAAACTAAAAAAGGACATTTTCACTGTACTGTAGGTGGACAGACATAGTTAGAAAATAGACAGACAGACAGACAGAGATAGATAGAATGATAGATAGATAGATGATAAATATATAGATATATTTTTGTAACATATTATGTAACATACAGTTACACACACATACACGCACAGACATATGCACACAAAGTTCTAGGTGCCTCTTTGGATGACTCAACGGCAGATCACTGTAGATAGATAGATAGACAGACAGACAGACAGATAGATACACAAGGGGAACTTAAATTGTTCATTTATTACATAAATGCTCAAAGATCATGAGCAATGCATCTCAATCAAAGTAAAGGGAATATCAATATGGAGAATAGTCGATATATCAACTTTGGATTTAGTTCTACATGAGTGACTTCTCTGGATATTGATTTGCATTTAATCTTTTTACTGTCTGTAACTCAGCTAAGACTTGGAAAGTGACCATATTAATTCCAGCAGAGACATGAAACATACTCGAATTATGTTACAGAGGCCATTGGATCGCTGTCCCATCTGTTAGCAGAATTCTTAGTGAAATTCTGTCCTGTTATTCGCCGTTACTAGTCTACCGGCCAGCTTGCCTTCTCATTAATACACCGCATCTACAGACTACGCTGCACGCTCTGTCTAATGTGTAGAAAGATAAATATATGCAGTGCGCACATCAATATTGCTGTGAAATAATGAAACACCGTCCCTGAAGAATTGCAATAGGAATTAAATCTGTCTCAACTGCTGGCAAATGAACTGATTAGTTTATATTTAATTAATGCTTTGGCATAAAACAATTTAAACAAGTGTCCTTGTAACGCTGAGAGACACTACACGTACCATTGTGAGGATGCACTGGTAATGATTGTCAGTCACACAACACAGAATGATCTCTTTTAACATTTTTATATTGTCGTCAGAGCTTATTTAGTAACCAATTAACTCTTTGAAATTGGTAAACATGTTTACAAAAAATTAGATGAAAAAAGCTATTGTTGGTTATTTGTGGTCAAATCTCTACACCGCAATTCACTATTTAGTGATTAGACCCCAGTAGTCATTGTGTATGTGTTGGACTCATTGGGTTAGGCCAACCTTTGATCTGTGCTCTCAACCATTGTTGCCGAAGTTTCTACGTTACTTGCAGAATTGCAAAGGGCTGAGTTCTTGGTGCTGGGAGAGCAAAGACAGCCCATAAGTGTTCTCAGTGATTGGCAAAATGGTGCTCCTTCTAAGCACTATCAGACACCCCAGAAATGTTTGTTACAAGGACACACAGTTACACACACAGTTCCAGTCACACACACACACGCAGTCAGACCCCACTCATATAATGTAATACCCTAAGGTATAATATGTGACACGCCAATATAGCACACTCACAGGATATAGGATGGTAAGCGCCTTGAGGGTGCCTCCCCCGAAAGTAGGGGGGGGCTCAGAGGTATCCTTTGGTCATCCGTCTTGTAACCAAATCCAAATATGAATCGGCACAGGAACCAGGAAGGTTGAAAAATTGATACTTATTTGATATATAAAAAGGTATAAAATGGGGTCAGGGCCTGACACTCAAGCGGAGCAGTCGCATGCCCAGCGAGCTCCTGCTCTAAACAGTGATTTAAGGCATTAAAAGGCTGACAATCCACAGATCAAACCCTGCAAAATCACTAACGTAAACAAGAGCATCCAGGCGAACACACTCAAGGGTCAAACTCCCGAAGTTACTCACCGGATCTCCTGACACTTGACTTTGCGGCCTGCAGGCGGACCTGGCGCGGGAGGAACGGCCGCTCTCCTTGCGATCTGGTCAGCCAAGGGGACATCGCAGAATTGATCTCTGTCCCCCCCCCCCGGACTGGCGGGGATATCCCGGTCCCCACCGGGGAACACCACCACACCTTCCAGGCATAAAAGCTTATACTCACCTCACCGACAAGGGGTGCGTGGCAAATCCAAGATGGCCGCCGCACCGACCAACCACATGTCCTGCTGGGAGATAAGATTCCAGATGGCTTTCGACGCCCTGTGTACAGCGTTCTGGACCTGGATAGAGTCCCGCCAGCAACAAGCCGCCCTCTCCTACACTAAGCCCACGGAGACCTTAAACGTAGCACCGTCTCCCTGTGCCTTCAGAAGACTGTGGGCCGAGAGGAACAAGAACCCCTTGCAGCCTGCACCTGTGATCAAACGTCCCTACAGAGCTCCAGCACAGAGACAAGCTCCCAGACGGAGACCTCGGCGACCTAGCTTGCCTGCAAGAACCTCGCAAACTCAAGCTGCCAAGCACTCACCAGCACCACAAAGACACAGCATGACTGCAGCGAGAAGAGCATGTAACAATGGAAGATGGCTGACAGCAACGGGAGATACAACATGTGATGGTCCCGACAGCACCGACCACCTGCCTCAGCCTGGCCTGCGAGCAAAAGGCATTGGATGAACACAGGACTTTGGGCCCAGTCTTGGCTCCCTGTTACTATAAAGTTTTAATCTCCCCCACCCATTATGTTAAGTTCTAACCCCAGCAGTGGCCCCTCTGTGGAATTTTTGTTTATTTCTCTTTTATCAGCATGTCCTCACCTGATATAGCAAATGTGCATCTATCTAGCTCTGTTAGATTAATTATTCCCACTCTGCCAATGTTGATATAGACATGCTAGTCTAGCCTGTTACAATACAATAACAAAAATGTGCAGTTTATCAGTGCCAAATTTACACTTTTGTTGCCTCATCTATGTGTGCTGTTGTGGCACTTTAAGTATGCCTGTAATTATCTTGCACTGAAAAAGAAAGATTTTTTTTTTTTAAAAAGGTATAAAATGCCACTAGAAATACAGTCCTAGGCGTTTGGTACCCCGTGCAGGGACTTCTTCAGGGACTTAATAAAAAATAATAATAACAAAGTGAATATAATCACATAATACAAAATACAAAATACAAACTAACAATGTATTTCCACCTACAAAAATATTCACAACAGGCCCGTTCCTATATCAAAGATACAAATTCCTTGATCCAAGAGATGGAAAACATCGAGTGGCAAGAAGGGTACAGCTGGGCCACTTTAGATGTTACATCATTGTATACGGTCATCAGCCATGAATTAGGCCTAGAAGCTATAGAAAATGTTATGGATAAAGATAACGCTATTACGCCCTCTCTTAAAAAATTAATTCTTACGGGAGTGAGATTTATCTTAGAACATAATTATTTCTACTTTCATGGAAATTTTTATATACAAGTGAGGGGGACCGCCATGGGGACCAGGTTTGCCCCCAGTTATGCCAACATCTACATGAGGAGATGGGAAGATCTCTTTGTGTGGGGGGCATGACTGGCGGGCAGCCCTGGTCCTCTGATGGCGATACATTGATGACATTATCATAATTTGGAACGATGATAAAGCATTGTTTGAAGTCATTGTGTAATATCTGAATCATAATAACTTTAACTTAAAATTCACCCCCATGTGGAGTAAACATAATATCAACTTTTTGGATCTCACCTTATTTCAAGAGAATGCAGATATTAGGACTAAATGCTATTTCAAACCCACGGACGGTAACAGCTATATCCATAAAACAAGCTGTCACCACCGCCTGTGGTTAAAAGGAATAGCTAAAAGTCAGCTAACTACAGTGAAACAAAACTGCTCTACGATGTCAGATTTTAAAATTCAAGCAAATCATATTAAAGAAAAACTCATACAGAGAGGTTACAATAAAAACCACATAGAAAAAGAAATTAGGGTTATATCTCAGAAAGAAAGGAAGGAGTTCCTTTCAAATACTAAAAAAGTAGCCAGTGAAGACACATTTAGATGTGCTTTCTTAACACAATTTAACACCCATCACTGAGAAATTCAAAAAAGTTTAGAAAAACATTGCTCGATTTTGTTAAACGACCCAATGATGGGCTCTATTGTCCCAAGACATCCCCAGAGGATTTATAAGAAAAACCAAAACCTTAAAAATATTATTGCTCCTAGTTACATAAAAGAAAAAGAGAAGAATAGTTTAACTACCCCCAATGGATTTAAAGGCTGTCGGGATTGAAGAGCTTGCAATACAGTGCAGAGATCTAAGGGTACTAGTTTTGAAAGCACCGCCACTAAAGAAACCTTTCCAGTTAAAACAGATATTGGTTGCCGCACAGATTATGTGATATATTTATTGCAGTGTCCATGCGGCAGTCAATATATAGGGCGTACTAAGAGAGCTCTAAAGGTTCGAATTATGGAACACAGCAACAATATCAAGAAGGGCCTTAAAACCCGCTAGGTTCCAGTCCACGGCAATTCCTGCCCCGTTTTTTATTTCAAAAAATGTAAATGTATGGGCATAGAACATGTCCTTCCAGACTGGAGGGGGGTGATCGCATTAAGTAATTATCACAGAGAGAAACATATAGGATTTATAAAATGCGGATGCTGGAGCCGAGTGGATTGAATTCAGATATAGATTTGGTGTGTTTCATGTAGTTTATGTTTTGGTATCATCTTTGTATGTTCTTTATGTTTGTTGGATATGTTGAGACTCCATCTCTTTCCATATTCCCATTACGTTTTTTTTTTATCTTCTATATGTTATTTTTATTTATTTTTTAATTTTAAAATGTTTTAATTTTTAGTTTCATTTTTTCTATTTTTATTTTCATTTTTATTTTTATAATTATTATATTTTTTTATTTTTTTTTATTTATTTTTATTTTTATTTTTATTATTATGATCTTTATTTTTTACTATTATTATTCATTTTTATTTTTATTTTTATTTGTATTTTTATACTTTCAATTTTATTTTTATTTTTATTATTTTTTCATACGTATATGTATGTCTTTAGTAAAGTGGAGAAGCTGGTGAGATATGAGGTCTCACCTAGATAGAGCTATATATATAATATAGACAATATAGCCTGTACATATATTGTTTATGGAATATAACTGTTATTGTTGTGTTTATAAGATTGTGATTTGACACATAATATAATAATTATAAATATCCTAAGACAAAGTGAACATTGATTAAGAAGCTTGTAATGAAAACCATTCGAAACAGCTTATAATGTTTTCCATTTCCATTCTTCTAAAGAACTATTGCTGCATGCTATGTATTTATACATTATACTGTGGAAGCTCTTGTAAGATTCCTTTATAGGATCGCTTACATGATTAAAAGCCGAAAGTGGAATGCATGCGGCATTTGCGCATGCGTTTGCGTGCGTTCCACTGACGTCACTTGACGTCAGGGGGGACGCGCGCATGTGTGTCCGTAGAAGATGACTTCACCCACCCGGAAATGAAGCGCGGGAAACTAGAAGGATTAATAAATTGGAACAGCTGAACGAATATTTACACATAGCCAATCATTGAGGATTCGAAGGAAACAGCATGTGAACGCTCCAATCAACACTCAGAGGACATTCCTATATAAGAGGGAAGGGGAAGGGAGAGGTTTATAGGCGGATACATTGTTAGTTTGTATTTTGTATTATGTGATTATATTCACTTTGTTATTATTATTTTTTATTGAGTCCCTGAAGAAGTCCTTGCACGGGGTACGAAATGCGTAGGACTGTATTTCTAGTGGCATTTTATACCTTTTTATATATCAAATAAATATCTGTTTTTCTACCTTTCTGGTTCCTGTGCCAATTCATATTTGAATTTGGTTACAAGAAGGATGACCGAAGGATACCTCTGAGCCCCCCATTGCTTTCGGGGGAGGCACCCTCAAGGCGCTTACCATCCTATATCCTGTTCTATATTGGCGTGTCACATATTATACCTTAGGGTATTACACTATATATATATATATATATATATATATTTTTTATTTTTTTTTTAATGTTTTTTATAGGTATACAGCCACATCCCAGTTTGTTTTATATTGTATATTTCCATTTGTTAGTAGCCAGGTGGGAAAAGGGCTAGTTTGGGAGGCTGTTCCATTTTACTCAGTTAAGTATTTCTATACTTTTTTTCTCACTCATATAATCACAAGTACACAGTAACAAACATAGTCACAGTCACTGTTACAAGGACACACAGTCTCAAAAACACACTATTACAGCCACACACAGTTATAGTCACACACAGGTCGCAGTCACATGCAGTCATAGGTACACATAAACACACACACAGTCACAGTTAAACACACACACACACACACACACAATTACAGGTGCACACACACAGTTACTGGCAATCCCCTTTATGTGCATGGGTGTTGGGAATGGAGTGTAGGCTGAAGCATATTCCCTTGTGTATCATGTCCCTGCTGTTTAAAAGAAGGCATTGCTGAGAATGGGCCAGCAGAACAAGTTCCTGTGGCTGCTGCTTTAGTGGGAGTTTGGCACCCACAGCATCAGGTGTCAAGGGCACATACTACCCCAATCTCCCCCTAGTTTCACTGTAGGCAGGGAATAAAACAAAAGGGGTGGCATGAAAAGAGAATAATGGGTTAAGTTTACTTCATTTTAACAATGAGGTATTTAAGAGTTTGACCTAGCAGTCTGAAATAATTCTCATAGGTACCCTTGGGAAGCAAAGGCCTAATTAGACCAATTTCATGATAAAAAGGGGAAACATCTCAGATAATGTTTCTTGAGAAGCCTTAGTTATCAAGATGAAAAGAAAGGATTTTGTAAATTCATTGATGGTTCTTCCGGGTCCCTAGTCCTTAATCATATTTACTAGGAATGTTGGAGATTGGTTTGTCCTCGGGTTTAGACTATAATACTTCTGTACCATTTGACCTTGATTTGCAACTCCATAAATGTTGGTTATAACACATTCCATCCAAGGGGAAGATATGAAATCACTTCAGACTCAGACGTTCTGTAATGTAACAGATTTATAAACTTAGAGGAATGCAGATTAACACCTGTATATCATGTTGAAATGTGACATAACATCTTCACACCTTGGTGGTAGGTAGGGTCAGACCTTCACATCTTGGAGGTAGACTGGGTAGCAGTTTCACACCATGGTGGTAGGTAGGGTAGAGGTTTCACATGTTGGAGGTAAAGAGCTACACATCCTTGAGAAAGGCAGGTTAACAGTTTTATATCTTGGAGAGATGTACGGTAACAGCTTAGCTTCATTCTCTGGAAAGTCGGGTAACAGCTTAGACAGAAGCAGAGTCATATCCATGAGATGGAATTCTAACTCACAAAATATCATCCTTTAATAATATCTTTTTTTTATATATATTTATATATATATATATATATATATATATATATATATATATAAAAGTGAATATTAAAATAATATTCATGTTATTTTCTGATTTTGTGATTGTGTTTTTCAAATTGTGTAAAAAAATCTGAACATAACAGAATATTATCTCTTATTTAATTTTTATTAATATGAACCTTCCTCTTCTTCCAGCAGTTTGTGGGTTAAGTAATAATATACAAACTCCAGGCACATCTGGCA